ACATTCTTAAACTGAAATTGCCATATGATAGTCTAGAGGAAGGCCAATAACATGTTAAGTAGAATAATACTTACATGAAGCATATTTTTTAAATAAATATAAGCGACGATATTTTGATTCCAAACATTTGCGACAAGGTGGCTAATTAGTTTTGACTAAATCAAACATTTCAAGTAGCATGCATACCCCATTTGTTCATAGTACCGAATGCAAGATAAGATAAAACCTAAGTCTATATCGACAGAGCAGGAGGCGCAAACATGATGAAGCTCCGACCTGACGCTACTGTCTAATAAGATGATGCTACTATAGTACTATTCAAGGAGCATTGGGAGGAGAATAGATCGGAGAAGAACCTGCCAGATTTTAAAAAAAAAACAGGTTGGTGTGCAAATCGGAGGGAATTAGAGATTGGCACGGAGAAAATTCGCTTGGATATATATAATATATTATAATGCCTTGGTTTCCTGTTGGCGTCTGCGATGAGGAAACCACTGAATTCAGGGAAATTTACTCTGCTTGGTGGCCTCTTCACAGGGAAGCTACTCACAATTGCTTGCAAACAATAACTATCAATGGATATTCTCTCTAAACGGAAAGGAGACAAGAGTAAATATGCGTCTTTTACCAGTCTTAATCTGTCTAAAATTTAGAGAAACTTATTTACTATGAGACGAAGGTAGTAGGTTTTATAGATTTGTTCGTGTAGTCCGGCCACACCGTGCATAAGGGGGTCCCATGTCTAATGACAACACATTTAAGCTCTACCAATCTAGGTGACGCGGATGTAGCTACGAAGACATAGTCAGCCTGTTCGCTTGTTGGTTTCAGCCAGGGCTTATCAGCCATGGTATAATACTTTTCTCTCACAACAAACCAGCACCAGCCGGGCTTATCAGCCCAGAAACTGACCAACGAACAGGCTGAGTGGCACTGGGCATTTTGCTGTTCAGGAATTACCAACACCAATGAATTGAGGAGGTTGACCATTGTAGCAAATCCATCGACGCCATGCCTGCTGCTAGCCCAGAGTCCCAGAGTCAATACACTAGGTTGACACGAGTAGAGTGGGGTGGCACCTTCTTCATGATATGACGACAAGATTGGAACTCTATGCAGATCGGATAGAATTTGTGTGAATGAAGAATTTTCGGACAGTGTTTAGCCAGAGAGAGTTTTGAGCCTAGAAGACCTGCTAACGCCATGTTTTTCTTTTGTTTCATCGATCTGAGATTTAAAATTTGTCAATGGCCTGGATCTGTTGCGTCTGTGATGTCTAAAGGTGACCGAAGTCGCTGCGAATCCCGTTGAATCGTCCAGAACCAACTTGATGTTGAGATCCATAGCACCCAACTGACACCGGAACCTGGTGACGTGGCCGTGGTCGATGGCGTGCGGCTTCAGGACGCGATGTCTTTGATACCAATTCTGATAATTGTGTGCAGTTACTTCATAATGCTTGATGTTCAGATACACGGCGCAGGCGGTAGACTCTCCCACACGCCGTGGACCCAATCTGAGTCATAAACCTTGGCATTCCGCTTGCTGGGCCTTTGCTTCCAGTGTCTTCGTCGGCCCGTTCTTCAACTAACTTCGCGCCCTTGATCTCACCAGCTGCATTTCCTGGATCATCTCTAGTTCAGTACTCACAGTGGTTCTCATCTCTAGTGAAGCGGTGGGCCAGCGCGGTGGCGCTGGGCTGGCGGGCAGCGCCGAAGCTGAGTGCTGAGGCGGGTTGCAGCGCTGCGGCTCAAACGGCGGTGGCGACGCCAAGACGCGCGAATGCGCAGGGGGTGCCGTCGACGACGGCGACACGGTGGAGAACAAGCGGCTAAGACGACTTCTGCCTCACCTGGGCGTCGGGCTCTTCCACAGGAGAGGGCAGAGGCCACACGGGCACGGCGGCCAATCTCCGGCTAGGGTCCACGACAGGACGCGCGGGGCGGCTTTTACGGCCCCGAAATTCGACGACGAGCCCACCGGTGCGGTTCTTGGCGGCAAAAACAAGGACGGCGGCGGTCCTCGCTGGTTCACAGAGAGAGGCGGCAGCGGCGCGCAATGCAGACGAGGGCGCAGCTGCGCAGGAGCCAGGAGGGCATGGGTTCTCCCGAATAGATGCGGGATAGGGAGAGAGGATGCGGGCCCGAGGTACTCGCGCGTAGGGGATGGAGTCGGCTCAAGCTCCCTCGGCGTGCGCGCCTACACCGTGTCGGATTCCTCGGTTCACGCCCTCCATCGGGCGCTGGTTCCTTAGTCCCTACTAACCTATGGTTGTCGGACTCGGAGAAGACGGGTACGGATCGGGTCGGGCTCGGTTCCTCCAGCTGGCGCTGCTGCTTTACCTGCGCGGTGGCCGGTGGGGAGAAGTCGAGAAGAACAGAGGCGGGCCGCACCGGGCAGCGGCACAGGCGCGGGTGCGGTGCTGCTCCGCGCTGCTTGTTGATGGGCCGAGCTCACGGGCGGCTGATGGGCCAGAGGAGCCGTGCGGCGCTGGGCTTCGCCCTGCTGAGGGAGGGCGTGAGCGCGGGGATGGATGGGTCAGGGAAGCGGGCTGGCGCTCACGCAGGGCTGCGCTGGGCGCTGGGCGCTGGCGCAGCGAGCGGGCCAAACAGAAAAGGCCGGGGCGCAGGCTGTTCGGCCGGTCGAACGGGCCGAAAGCAAGAATAAAACAATGGAGGAGGTTAGAAAAATATTTTTCTTTTATTTCTATCTTCACCACTTTTCCAAATTGTTTTGAAACTATTGAAATTGAGAACTCACAAACTTTAACAACATGATTTTGTAAATAAACTTTTAAAATTATTTAAAACCAAACTTTAATTTTGAAAGCCAAAACAAACTATTTGTGAGACTTTTTAAACTAAAATTTGAATATATTTTGAGCTTTTTTAAAATATATTTTAAAGCTATTTTGAAAATTAAAAGCCCTTTTGTAAACATACTTATAAAACACATTTTGAAGAAATTTTAAATATTTTTGAATTCAAACTTGAACAAAGTTTTCAAACATAATTTTGAAACTTTTATTTTTTGTAAAAGTGAACAAAACCTAATAGTGGCTTAACCAAATTTTAGAAATTCATTTTTCACACAATAAACGGTCGTTTGTGTACTGAACCGTCTGTGATAAGAAAATTATCACAAATGATTTGTGTACGGAACTGTTGATGATAAGACCGTTATATCACAAATAATTTCTATAAGGAACCATTTGTGATAATGTAATTATCACAAGCGGTTTGTGTGCTAAACCTTTGGTGGTAACCGGATTATCACAAATCCTTTATGTAATGAACCGTTGGTGATCTATCATTATGATCATTCAAAGCTGTTTGTTGTCACCTTGATTAATTATCACTATGAACTTTCACCAACTAAGACCGAAACCATTGGTGATGAGGGGTTTTAGATTTATTTTGGTGAAGAATAAATCTATAGCAGTGCGATGGCCTTATTATTATTTATCCCAACGGACAAGTCGAGGTCCTGAGGGCCACAACAATGTCGACGCATTATTATCACGAAAATTCTTAGCACCACATGTGTACCACCCCATCCAGCTATACCGATGAGAAGAGAAGGCCGAACAAATGAACTGCTATAGCTGCACGGACGCACGCTGTCAACCAAGACGGCCAAGCAATGCCGTGACCCTTTGCCAAGCACTGCTCCCACCGGTATATTTGAATAGTGCTATACGTTACCCCCAAGATCCAACTAGAACGAAAACCGCCAGATTTGACACCATGGCGCCGGAGGAACACCAAATCCCGAAGCAAAACACCGACAGATCTAGTTGCTCTATATATGACCACCACAGCCGCAAGAACTATGAATATCTCGGCACAACACATGTGACCATCGCACATGCCGCCACACCGTGCTGTAACCATGCTCGGCTGCTCGCTACCAGCTCTTGCCACAGGGGTTGGAATGAACGATGCAGGGGTTGGAATCGAAGAAGGGTTCTTCGATAAGTTTATATACCACGCGGTAGGCCTGTAGAAATTGCGGTATCTTGCGAGTTAGGAGTTTCTCAGTAGCGAGATTCCAGCAGATTCACGATGCATAACAGTTGTGAGATATTGCATGAATGACGATAACTCCACAACCAATCTCATAGCAGAATGGGAGAAAGAAAGATTCACAAACGAGGCGAATTCTCGGAAAACCAAAAGTTGCACTAATAAGATACGATTGTGCGAGCTCACCTAAAGTCAGATCGAGGGGCGGCACTCGATTTACTGTCGAGAAAAACAATCTAGACTAGACTAAGAACTCCCTAGAAGTTCTGAATTGCTATGAGTACTACTCAATCCCATGCACAAATGATGTGCCAGGGCCCAGGACAGAAAGCTGAAATGCCCGCCCTTGCAAGAACTGAGATGCTTTCTGTGTTCTGTACTTCTGTTAGTCTTTCCCTCGTTGCTCACGTTCTTGCTCTGCTCACTCTACATTCACGGCATAGATGCAAGATACCATATATACGGCCAGCTGATGTAAAATAAGAAACTTTATGTTGGCTGAAGTTGTGCCCGACAAGAGTTTCTACACTTACGGTAACATGTTTTTTTTTTCAGTAGATCATTAGTACATAGAACTGGTGTCCGAAATGCTGCGCTACTGAGAACTAGCTTTGCAAACGCATCTTCTTGTCAATGGAGGCTCTGCTTCAGTTACCGTACGAAAGTCGAATACTATTGCCAGATATTTGACATGCATGTACGTAAATATTGCATATGCTTCCACATCGCACTCTATATAACACAAAAGCCACATCACACAAGCCTATCTCTTAAGTGTTCATACTATAATTCCATAGATGTTTTTTATTTATCACTTAGCTGTTGCCAGTAATGTAAAGCGGCAAGCAGTTTACAGGTCAAACAAGCCTTGTAGTGTTGCACACGATAAACACAGCTTCCAGCAGCAAGACAGACTCATGTTTGGTGACATATTTGTAACAATATACTTTGTATCTAGCTCTCAAAAAGAGCCTACTAGTGCCCGTTGCCGTTGCCACCTCCATAACCAGAGCCAGATCCAGATCCATAGCCAGAGCCACCACCTTGACCACCGCCACCGCCACCTCCACCGCCACCACCGCTTCCATAGCCTCCTCCATGAGCACCACCTGCTCCATATCCTTCACCTGACCCATACCCCGAGCCAGAGCCGTAGCCAGATCCACCTTGGCCGCTGCCACCACCGCCACCTTGTCCACCACCAGCACCGCCACCACTAGCAGCACCACCACCACCATAGCCAGAGCCAGAGCCGTAGCCTTCACCGCCTCCATGGCCATAGCCCGAACCACCACCTTGGCCACCACCACCTCCACCTCCACTCCCATACCCACCAGCACCACCACTGCCAGCTCCGTAGCCAGACCCTTGGCCGGAGCCATACCCAGAGCCACCAGCTCCACCACCCTCGCCGCCACCGCCTCCTTCGCCACCACCATGTCCATACCCACCAGCAGCACCTCCACTGCCACCGCCCTCACCATACCCTGATCCGGACCCATAGCCTGATCCCTCATAGCCACCGCCTCCACCACCACCGCTACCGCTGCCGCCACCACCTCCCCCGGGGCCGTAACCCAGTTTGCGGCTTCCAGCAGCGGTGGCCATGCCTATGCTAAGGAGAACGAGGATGGCAAGTGCCAGATGCTTGGTCGCCATCTTGGCTGCTAGCTCTTAGTGCAAGTGTGGTTGGTTGTGTGGTGGAGTGAACTGAGAAGCCGGTGTATTTATAGGGTGCAGCCGTGCATGGCTCGGCAGGTCAGTGTGTCCCTGCATGGTCTAAAACAGCCAAAGGCTAGCGCACGTAGAGCTTGGACTCTGGACGCGCAGGATGTGTGTGAAACGAGGACCCGGGGAGTGAACTAGTGCTTGCCACTTTGTTGACACTTGGGGACGAGCTCTTTTTCCTTTTGCTTGCTTTTTGCGAGATAGAATTATTCGGTTTGCTATTGCATTCTGTCCATACTTCATGTCATCTGTGGTCATTTTCTTGAGCGCGACTTCGATTTTTGTTAATCCGACTAACGAATCCGTTGGCAACTCGAGTTAGCTAGGCGTGGATAAATCAGCATACGTGGGTGCGCTTTATTGCTTGTGATCCATACAGTTATTCAGTGATTTGGTAGATACATTGCGCTAATTATGTTTCGAGGTCTCACGCTTACGTGGATTCATCATATCAATTTAGTTGTAATCTAGTCATCATGTATCTAGTATACACCGTTACCTACTAGTAGAATTTAATTTTACCTGTGGATCCTTGTTTTTTATAAATAGTCGATCCGTCTATTATTTGAGAATAGACACACTGAAATATATATTTTTGGCCTATATACACGTAGTGGCATGCACATATTTTTCTTGAATGTGCAAGAAAACTGCACATCTTTATATTAAGATAGAAGAATCGGAAGTCCACGTACCACACGATCACTGCTACAAAAAGTTTAATCACTGCCGGGACTTTCACGCCGGTTATAAGAAACTAGCGGTGATACTTATCACCACCGGTTCATAGCTTTAGGGGTCCCTTCCCGTGACCTACCGGCGGTCATAAATGTTTTCACTGCTGGCCCGGCGTATGATCCGGCGATGAACACAGAGCGAGTCTTCGCCGTGGCATCAGACGCCGAACCGACGGTGGATCATTTTAGCACCGCCGGCTAATCATCCTATGTGTGATGCACAAAGAAATCGATGGAGATAAGAAGTTTCGCTGCCTGTTTCCAGATGGAAGGTCGCACCACCGTTAGAGCAGGCAGTGAAACAAGCTAGCACTGTCGGTTCGCCTCATGATCTAGCGGTGGAAATCGCAATGATTCGAAACACCGCATCGTCTGCCGTGCTGGCGGTGATCAGACGTTTCATCGCCGGTTGTTCGGACACTGAATTCCACATGCTTCGATCTGGCGGTCGGTACAAAAAGATATCTGCCGTATTATATGTTGATCCGGTGGTGACGAACAATACCACTGCCGGTCTCACAACGCAGTGATCATCTAGGCTACCACCAACGACTTTACCAATGACAGCCAAAACCATCGGTGAAGAGGGCTTTGGAGCCAGCGGTGATGAACTTTCTGTAGTAGTGTTAGTGGATGTGACAATTATTGAAAGTTTACACAACACGGCATGTCCAACCATGCGCTAAATCTGAAACAGACATGCTCATATATACACAATCTATTGGCTTACCATATGTACATGTTGATATACATGATCATATAGTCAATTTGTTTCCAAGTTCTACCATATATCTCTGATCACTGTTTTTGATCAATCACAGTCATCGGGATAAGAAGGAAGACCAAGCTGATCACATCAGGGCTAGCAATAAGCTATACATAGTAGTAGACTTTGCGAGAGTCGTCGTTTCCCTTCCAAGTAACTTTTTGATTTTTGAAGGCTAAGACAAATTTGAATCTTGGGCAAAAAGCTACTTTGAGGACAAATCAATGGTTTGTCTGTGCCGACTGCGGATGCACTAAATATATCCTTGTTATTTCCTTGTCGCTGCGCGGGACTGCGAGCACAAGAAGGCCGTCTACAGAGACCAACAAAATGGATGCTAGCTGCGCAGGTCTACCGTGCATGTTCTCGAGAGATCAGACTCGGTGAGCGTGGGTACGCTGTGCCAACTGCCAACGTGACTTTATTGCTGGAAGAATAGTGCAGTGGTAGCTCGCTCTTGTCTGGATGCGCGCGGTCATATATCCCATGTCTTTCGTAGAGCCCAAAGGCCACCCTAACAAAGCAAGATCAGAGCAATGAGAATAACAAGCACATTCCTAATTAGTTTTTGTGTATCTTCCGCGTGTTTCACCCTTTAATTTAGGGCATGTTCGGGAGGTACTCTAGCCGTACTATTGAGGGCCGCCGGAGCTTCAAATCCTTGGTTCCTCCGGCTCCTCTCCTTTGTCCGTTGCTTTTCGCTGGAGACAGAGTCAGCCGGCTTCTTGCTACAGTGCTGCACAGTGCAACTGCATAGGGAGCCGAAGCCGGCAAGAGCGCTGTCAAACACTGTCTTATAATGAAATGCATGTTGTATGAATATATGCCTACCATATCTGGAATTAAATTGGGTGCCACCCTGGGGCCAAACATCACTGTCGGTGTTTCGAACAGCCGACTAGTAAATTTGTATATTGTGTGTCTGACTCAGATGGTGTGCTAAGAGGATATGAAGTTTATACTGGTTCGGGCAGAATGTCCCTACGTCCAGTTTTGGGCTACTCATGTTACCAACACTGAGATTGTAGTAGGGGGTTACAAACTGACGAGAGAGGAAGGAGCTTCCAAGTCTCTGTGGTTTGATTGCTCGATGCTTCTACTGCTCGATCTGTCGATCGATCGATCTCTTTCTCTAAACGGTGTCCTGTTTTCCCTTTTATAGACCAAGGGAAGAGAACAGGATACTAGAGACCCAAAGAAGGGAAGAGGGAAAAAAGAAAGAGAAATAAGGCTCTTGGGGGTGTGCCGTCCTCCTCTTCGCGTGGGTCCCGCTGACCCTGTAGATCGTGGTGGCAGCGGCGTCGCACCGGGGTCCTATTGGCCGCTGCAGCATATGTGTGGGCGTCGTGCGCCGTTCTTGTCTTCTGACGGAGGCCATACGGGGGGGTAGTGGTATAGTGCCAGTCAACTGACGCCGGTCGACTGGCGTTGGACGATGGTCAGGCAGGGAGTTGGTACCACAGTGCTAGCCTGTTGACGCGGTGGGCGACGTTAGTCTCCCAGCATGGCCTGATGCAATTGTCAGTCGCATCAGGACGCGCCCGAGACGTGCTCCTAGGCGTGCGCCTCCAAGCCGTAGTGGTTGAAGTTGTTCGGGTCCCACCCTGGGGCCACTGCTTTTGTCCGGAAGCAAATTCGACCCCCAGGGAACGGACGAGGCGGAAATCTCGCCCTGGGGGCCGGGCGAGATGGAATCCGACCCTCGGGGGTCGGACGAGGCGGAGCCCTCCCCATAGGACCGAATGAGTCGGAGCCCGCGCCCTGGGGTCGGAGGAGTCGGAGCCCACGCCTTGGGGTCAGACGAGGCGAAAACCTCATCCTCGGAGTCGGAGCCCACGCCTTGGGGTCGGACGAGGCAGAAACCTCGTCCTCGGAGTCGGACGAGGCGTGGCCCGGCCCCTGGGGGTCGGACGAGGCCGTAGTTGCGTCCTTAACCATCGAATGAGGTGACATGACGCTCATTAATCCTTTGGCTTGGATACCCGGGTATAGATATCCGTCAGTAGCCCCCAAGCCTTTGGAGGAGTGAGATACTCCTACAAAGGCTTTTTGCGATTTGTTGCTCCTGTGTCCATTGTGCCATGGATGCGGGTCGTTATTGGAACTTCGTCGTCTTTTCCCTTCGTACTGCTTAGGGTAATCAGGTAGGATTTAGGCACCCAGCCTCCACTAGGGAGTCGGTCAGAGGCTGAGCATTTTGGTACTTATCCTTGGGGCCACGGACTCTTATCTCTTTCGGTCGGGTGTTCGCCCGTGTACGTTCCGACCATAACCAGTACGGCCGGTCGGTTTCCTGAGTGGGGATCGGGTGGCCCGAGCCCCCGAGCCTCTAGGGGCCCGTCGGGGTCAGTCGCCTGGTTTCTTGCCTCACTTCGTCCACGGTTTCCGCAACCGGAGGTGACTTGTCGTTTGTCTATGACCGCGTGTTCGGTCTCTTTATCCTTGTGATCGTCGTCCCTCACGCGTCCATTCGCTAGAACAGAGGGGCTGAGCCATGCCGTACTTTCCTCGCTAGACGGAGCACGGTGCTCGGTGAGTTGTTAACGGGCTTGTTCGAGTGGAGCCCTGGTTCAAGATCAGCTGGTGACTGACTCCAGATTCTTGGCGGCCGGTCCATATAGTTCTCGGATCTGTTCGACCGGTCTGAGGGCTCGATGCCTTTCTTTGGGGAAAACCATAGACCTTGCATCATCCAAGACCTGAAACAAGGGTCAGGACGCCCGTGGTGCTTCGCGCGCCTCGAGTATTGGCCGCTAGCGGGCCCATCCTTAACCTCCCCTCACTCTAGGGTGCCCTGGAGCGGCCGTGAACCCATTGGTGGGCCAGCCTTCAAACTCCTAGGCATTAATGGGCCATGGGAGCGTTTTCAACTCCGTATCCCACTTACCTACGATGGCTCGTAGCCTTTGAAGGCGAACCATCGCCCGGTGAATCCTTCGTGAGGAAGATTTGGATAGGCATGCGCTCGTCTCTCAAGGCAGCGATGCGACTGATGCAGTGTGGAACAATGAGGGCACGACCCCCAAAGGAAGTGTATCTGGTGAGGCGTGGGGCGCGTTAATTTAGGCGGATGGTTCGCCCCTCGCCCGTTCCGCCCTTACCTTATAAACGGAGCCGTTTCTCCCTAGCCTCCATACGCGCAGCCGCATCCTTGCCCCCCAGTCTTTCTGCCTTTTGCTCTCGAGTTCTGGACTTCGTTCCCCTGTTTCCACTCCTCCGCCGGCAAAGTTCTCGCTCTCTAGCCCTATGCCACTGCCGGATCTTCTGCATTGCCATCCCCGTTCCTCGATGGAGCCGTGGCTTTGCTCTGATGTTCTCCATGCATGCATGGAGGGTCTAGTTAAGAAGGGCCTTCTCCGCGCAAGGACTACGGCGATGGAGTGGATCATACCTAGTGGCGAGGATGAGTCATCGCCACCCGATGGCTA